GCGAAGGAACTGAAAGTCGTCTTGTTGCTCCCGGACAAGGATGATGACGACGACGTGTTATCGTTGCTGATCGCCAGGAACATACAAGTCAACCTTGATATACGAGATGAACCAGCGGCGGCGGTAGCGCAGCCGTCGCTGACGACCCCTGCTGGGGCTGCGAGCACGGTGGCGGTGGTGGTGGACGAGGCGCCGCTGATGGCAGCGGCGGCCGGAGTGTCGACCGGAGACCGACGGCGTCGTCCCGGGGCATATGGAGACGGCGTGCATCGGACATGCTACGAGTGCGGGCGGAGGGGTCATCTCGCCCGCGACTGCTGGAGACGAAGAGGTGGTCCTCCGTGGGCGCTGAACAACTACAGCGGGCGGTTCCCCCAAGACCAAGGATCCCGGGTGAGTCGAGATGCATTCAATACACGGCCGCCCTATCCACATCACTCATTCGCGTCATCTCAACCGTATTTATCGGGTTCGGAGAGTACGCATGGCCGGGATATGTGGGGTGCGTTGGTACATCATGTGTTGGGGGCCGCGCCGGGATTGTCGGATGTGATGGCATGTATTCAAGGTGTTATGGTACGGGTTATTGTGTATACCGGGGCGTCGGCAACTCTCATTTCGTTGCAAACTTTTCGGTCGCTGCCGACGTCGCCTGGATCATTAGCGCCAGTGGAAGGGCCATGTGTAGCGGCAAACGGGGGTAGTTTGGGCATTATGGGCTGCGTGGTTGCGACAATTCAATTTGGGGAGGTTATTGTGACAGGAAGTGTTTTGGTTTCAACGGCCTTGGCGGTACTATGTTTGTTGGGCACGGATTTTTTGCAAAAGATGCCAATTAAGATTTCAGTGGAAAAAGGTTGTTTGGAATTACCGTCGGGGAAATGTATGAAAGTTTTGGGGACGCCTTCGAAATTTGCGGCGGCGAACGCTGTGGTGCAGGCCGTGGTGAGCCACACCGTGCGCGTCCCGCCTACATCGCAAATATTGGTACTGTTACGGTTAAAGAAGGAATTGCCTTGGGATGAGCTACAGGAGGGAGTGCTGGGAATTTTTGATCCGCACTGATCACGCGGCGCTACAGTACTCGCTGCGCGTGGATCGGCCATCGGGGCAAATGGCTCGCTGGATTGAGACCCTCCAGGAGTACTCATTCACGATCCAGCATAGGAAAGGGACGCACCATGTAAACGCGGATGCTTTGTCGAGGTTGCCGCGACCGGCTGAGACGTGTCGGTGCAAAGAGGGCTCGCTGCGTTGCGGCCCGCCGCTGCAGGAGGTTCCGTAAACGGTCGCTGCAGCGGGTTCGGCGGTGCCAGGGATAGTCCCTGGAGCAGAAATTGGACTGTTGGGGTTGTCATTGAAGCAGTGGAAGCAACTGCAGGTGGAAGATTCCTTGCTGACCAGGATGAGGCTGCGTGCCTCTCGTTCAAGGGGATCGGAGGATCGCCCATTTTTGATGTTAACGAAGGGGTTGCTTGTTCGCTGGGATGTGGAAGCACAAAAAAATTGTATTGTTGTCCCGAGGGTGTTGCGGGGGAAACTGATTAACGAGGTACATGAGAAATTGCTGCATCTGGGGGAGAGGAAGACCGCGTTGACGGTGGGGAGTGAATTTTACTGGCCGGGAATGTTTAACGATGTGAAACAGCATGTAAAAGCGTGCCAGGAATGTGCACGGAGGAAAGCGCCGGCACGGCCATATCGTGTCCCTTTGCAATCGATTCAAGTTTCGAGAGTGAATGAAATTGTGGCACTGGATATTTTGGGTCCGTTTCCCGTCACCCCCTGAGGGCACAGATATTTGCTCATCGGGGTGGAATACTTAACTTGTTGGCCGATTGCATGGCCGCTAGTAGACCAGTCAGCGACGTCGATCGCTGAGGCTTTCTTGAATGGATACGTATTAGATAAGGGGGCCCCGGAACATTTGCTTACTGACCAAGGCAGAAATTTTTCATCGAAATTGATTAAGGACGTGTGTGACTCACTGGGAACCAAAAAGATTCGGACGTCCCCATACCACCCACAGACTGACGGGATGGTCGAGCGGCTGCATAGGACGCTGACGTCCATGCTTTGTCACCAAGTAAGCACCGCTCAAAATGATTGGGATCTGCATGTTGCAGCGACGCTGGCCGCGTATAGATTGGCCCCGCATGCCTCAACGGGGTACTCGACATTTTTTCTGATGTATGGACGGGAACCGGAAGCGCCGGCTATTGTGAAATTGGGAATTCGAAAACGGGAGAAATCTACGACGGTGCTTGCTCCGATGCAGGTGGCTTTAGACCGTCTAAGGGAAGCCCGAGAGGCTGCATTGCAAAATACGGCATGACGACAAGCCGCTAACGAAAGATTGTTCGGCAGGCAGCGGCCACGAGAGCCGTGGAGTGTTGGAGATAAAGCCTGGTTGCACTGCCCCATGGTGCCGGTGGGAACGTCCCCGAAATTTCACCGCCCCTGGCAGGGGCCCGTTGATATTGTGGAGGTTTTACGGGATCAGAGTGTGCGAATAAAATTCGGTCATCGGACATGGTTTGTTCACCCATCGCGCCTGAAGAAATTTGTGTTACCATATGATGCGTCATCCCCCATCCGAGAGCGGCCTGTATTGGATGTGTCCGACGAACCTGTGGGGAGGTCACAAGTGCGCGTGTCCCAGAGATCTGCCCCCCGTGTGCCTGCAGGATCGCCCTTTTTGGGCAGGGTTACCGACCGGACGCCGATTGAACGGCCACAGATCTGGACCAATGGCCGTCCCGACCGTGAACGACGGACAGCCCCGCCAGCTGAGTGTCGCTGGGACAGGGATGGGCGCAGGGTTCATTGGCAAGACGAGCGAGGCCATCCCTTACTGCAGGGTATCCCGTGCAGGGGAGATGGACCGGCAGCGGGAACCCGTTCCAGGAGGAATACAATACATTGACTTTGGGGGTTGGGAATTCTGTATAAAGGTGTTGTGTGCGTGCATTGCGTGATTGTACAAAATGGTTGTATATTGCAAATGCGTTATATATATGTTGTCATTGTTCCGTCCGCTTTGCTCCACTACTCCAATTCGAGTATATCGTAGCTGGGGACGGCTAGGTTCTTTCATCACGGGGGGGGGGGGGGGGGGGTGATGTAGTGGAGTAAATAATACGCATAGGAATTGGCCATATACAGTACATACAGACAGACAAGGACAACGGGTCACATGAGGTCGAACAGGTGGTCGAGTCGCGGGTGGCGTAAACAACCCGAAGTAATTAAGGGAGTCGTGGCACGAGGGCTGTGATTGGTCGAGAGGCTGTTAGCGTTAAGTGGTGGCGTCTGGATGTCTGATGAAGGGGACAGGTGCGGGCTGGCGGGAGACGGCCAGCGAGCCACGTGGCAATTAATTAAGGCTAATGCGAGAGGGGATAAAACGCGAGGTGGTTTGAACGGAGAGGAGTGGCTGCTGGGGAGTTGTTGCTGTAGAGTTGTTGCTGGGCAGTTGTTGGCGAGAGGTGAAGAGATACGAAGAAGACAGCTGGAAATGTTAGGGAAGAATAGATAGAGAGCCGGAGCCCAAAGACAGTAAATGGCGATTGGGAGAGTCGGCGTTAGCGGAGAGAGATAGAGTCACTGTGTGTGAATAGATGGAAGTCACTGCGTGTGAAGAGATAGCGGCAATACTGTGTGTGAGGAGGTAGAAGACGAACCACTGCGTGTGGAAGGGAAGACACTGTGTGTGAAGAGATAGGCGAAGAAACACTGTGTGTGGAAGGGGATGCACGGACGATGCTGAAGTAAATCGGAGTGTCCGAGTTGGCGGAGCACGGAGAGAATTACTGTGTGTACGGAACGATGGAATAAAAGTGACGGCGGAAAAAGAGACGGTAGTCGTCCGAGTGAATTCACAGCACTACACTAGTATGACACACCGGTGTGGAGAGAAACCCACATTTACAATTTGAGTACGACGTTTCACTAGAAATTTCAACGAGGATCATCAGGTGACAGCCAGAGTTGTGGAGAAATTACATCTTCTGAGCACTGCAATATATCATTTATTTGCTTTCCAAAGAATGTCCATCGCATATCAGTCAAATATTTTTAAGTAAAACTATGTTACAAACCGAATTTTATGCAATATTTTTTCGTGATATAGTTGGTGACTAAGCTGAGACCATCAACTTGTTATACTTAATATCACATATAGGCATTCACGACCGATATTATGATTCATAGTTACTCTTAGGTTAGGTAGGAATAAGTGGTAATGGTCAAAATTGTTCTTTATTTTCAACATAACAGTTCCCACATTTGCCCACGCGACAACTTGATTTAATTGACTGTGTCAGGTGGTGGAGGGCTATAGCGCTAATTAACATTATACCTACACGATCTGACCCAAAAGAAACCAATTATGTACCGTTACACTTGAGAACCCAGATTAGTGAGGGGTGGTTGCCTGGATTCCGACCTTAGATCTAAGCCGCAACGGCCCACTGCTCTGACCTCTGAGCCACCCAGCTACCTCTGCCATGACTGTGTTGAATGCATATTAAAATCATATATTTAATGATCTAAACCAATTAAATTATACACTTATCTGCATTATATATGCGTAATCATTACCACAGATATTATTTTTGCATTGTTACTGCTGTTTTTTTGTGGACTACAATTGCTGCTGCCCACGCTCCACATCCGACTGATGCACCATTTCAATTGGCCTGTGTAGGAACAGATAGCACAGTGTATAAAATCTGGTTTGGTTCATGTGGGTATAATTTAGTTAAGAAGTCTTGGTTTCCGCGAGAAATTCCCCGATTCGAAGCTTCACGCCTTCCTTCAAGAATTCCAACGCCACCAGTTTGTTTTCCATTTCATAAGCCAGATTACAGACATTGCATGTGTATTGGATCGGAAGATGTGGACATCTTGACTGTGGCAGGGTGCTTCAGGGCTAAAGTCGGAGTAGACTTTTGTTTATTTTAATTATACGTTAAAGAATGTGACAAGTGAGGCGTACATTGAGACCAGGTCAATTCAACCATTTATTATACAAAAATATTTTACAAAACTTGAGCAGTACCAGGCCTTATACAGAATCCAGCCTTATAATAAATAAAGATTTCATTTAGTCATAATTACTGTTGCTGCTTTATTTACCATTATCATTGTTATTCAAATCTATAGTGTTAGCATTCTAACCAGATGAAGATAATATAGACGTAGCAGAAGATATGGGGAGTGGGAGCAGGAAACAATACAAAATGAAATACAAAATAAATGTATACAAAGGAGTTCCATCACATTCAAGTCTAATCTTTAAAACGACATGCCATGACCAACTACAGACTGACGCATTGGGTGGTTTTCAACATCCATTGATGACCGATGTCACTGGTAGGCACAAGGGCTTTGTTCAGGCTATAGTAGCACGTGGAGAAATAATGTGCCTGCGATTGCTATGAACGGAAATATCACGACACGAAGTGTGTGCTAATTGCTCTCAACAAAAAAAGTGATAGATTCAAAACACTAAACACAAACATCGAGGCTAGAAATAAATCCTATATCTACCCCCATAACATTTACATCTTGATCAAAGTTTTTTTGTTATGTACAATATCATAAATTATGCACACTTTTCAGCACAATGATTATCTACAGTAAGTCAGTTACACGCAAAGCATTTGTTGGAGTTAACACTTTTTAAGCATTTTAAATTGAGACTCAAATTTGCTGGCTTTGTGGAAAGTTTTGTATTGTCTGTGTGCATTAATTTAAACTATGTTTTTTTACACTAATATACATTTTATTTATAAGCAACAATAATAATATGCTTATCGGTTTAAACAAAAGTCATGTTACTGATCATGTAGCACCTTGGCTTTGCAGTGGCTTGTTGATACCAATCTCTTTTCTCGTGATGCCATTTTTCATAATCCTGAGTCGGATTAAAGCTCCCGTATGTGCATGTGCAGACCATGATGTTATCCTGGGTGGTGATAAAACCAATTTAAATTTTCTCTGTCCGATAGGCCTTTAAAATAACGCTTCCCTAGAGTGTCGATATTCCATTCAGTGGTGCCATTGTTCTCGTCAGGTTACAAGGTATTGCATATCACGTGTTACTTGTGTTTCAGTCAATGTGCCAAAGGCTCAGAGGAACAACGAGCCAAGGCAGCCAACTTACATCGGGAGAATTAGTCGAGCGCTCTCCACACTACACTTTACACATTTGGGCTTCAAACAGCTGAAGCATTTGTTACTGCGTTGGGCAGAGACAGGTTTTTTTTTTCCCCACTGTTAATTAAGTAACTGGTTCCTGTAGCTGTAGCTATTAGTACTGCGAAGAATTTCTTTAAAATGTATGTAGCGTTCCCTAAATAAAAGTGCTTTACAAATTGTCACGTACTGACAATTGTCTTATTTAAAGTGGTGAGTTGGTGATACGAAGGAGTTTGGTCATTAACCATCGCTCATTGTTACGGTTTTCAGATTAATTATTTCACTGAAGGTGTGTCCTATTTATAACGTTATATTAAAAAATATATATGAACCAGGTTTATCATATTGGAGGGTTTGTAAAGCAATTCTACGATATTTGATGTGCACTCTGTGCCGAACTATAGCAAGCAAAGGTTACAGAGCTTCCTTTGCAGTAAAGAAGTGCTGATAAATGTATGTGGCCAGATATTGTCGGAACCGAGATCTAAATTCCCAATTCCATTTGCTTCAGTGATTTATCAGAGGCTTCCACATTCCTCATGGCAGGTGTGGGCAAAATAGGTCATTCGAGAAAGGCTGCCGTATCTATGCATGAACATTAACGCCTTGGGCCAGCCATCGTGTGGGGATTTTAAAGCCAAGGCAGGTCACTTTGGCCTTATCCACACTGAAGTCTTCATCCAGGTTATCCTACCTTGGTCTCATCTGTGAATTTATAGATCTGTAATGCAGTGGAAGGAATGTAGAGCTTTGCCTATGAACCCTGAAGACAGCTGTGCTGAAATAGCTCATAGCACATCCATTCAAATGGCACTCGCTGAGGCAGAACATGACATGAATGTTGTCCGAGTGGCTATGGCAAAGATGACGGCCTAATCTATTGCGGATGTGTTGACGAGCTGCGTGTTGTGAATAACAGACACATCATAACAAAATAGCAGGGCATACACAAACAGCCACACTTTCATATCACAACAACGAAGAGCAGTTCTTTTCTTCAGAATTGACACCAAAGTTTACAGAAGCAGTATAAAGTGTCCTTGACCCAGAGCGCTTTGCTTAAAAATATATATATATCACAGACAAAGCGTCCTTCAGACATTTTGCACATCCCTGGAGCAGGAACAAAGCATGTGCTTTCCAACAAAATACCAACAAGTCCACTTGCTTAGCCGGATTCAATATGAATCTGGCATGATGTCTGGTAACAGAGCAAATCCCCATTCGTTCCTTCTCAACGTCCGATGACCCGCCAGCTGAGCCACGGCACTCTTTGTCAACCACAGTGGTGTGTCTCTTTACGCGGCAGATACATGGACTCCCAGCTCCGTGCCTTCAGAGAAGCACCCGCCAAGACGGAACATCCAATGCCAACCCTTGCAGACGCTTCATTCCCATCGCAACGGCATCACCATCCCCATAAATACGTTTCAAATTTCCGAAGACACACCACCGATGGGCCACAAACAGTGCTGCCTCTCTCTCTTCGTCGTGGCGTCGTGAGTGAGGAGTTAGTGAGGAGTGATCGAGTGAGGAGTCCGTGGTGCGCTGGGCAAGCGAGTGGAGCGCGTAAGAGATGAGTGGGTCAGTGGAAGGTGTCGCTCATTTGCCGTGTTGTTGGAGAAGCCGCGTGACTCCCTCATACACCTGTGCTGTGTGCTGGCAGGGTCTGGGCCCTCATCACTTGAATGCTGTTAAGAATCTTCTTCTGGTGCCCGACCAGCGTGACTCCTATTCTGTGAATGTCACTGTAATCAGAGAAGTTCAGCATTAGATTTATACTCATTTGCTCTTATCCAGCTCTTTACGAGCTGCGCTGTCAGCGTCGTGTCATGAGATAAGACAAAAAAAGGTCGATTTCGGAATGTTGCAGCTAACAGTGCATCACCAAATGTGTCAGAGGATTGTTAAAGTATTTTCAATAGGTATGTTTAATTTTATTAGGAGTGCATGCTTTTAATGGGCAGCAAAGATTGCTCTTCATGTCAATCAAACTTAACCTTTTATGTTTCAGAACTGAAAGATGCCGAATAAATAAAATAATCTAATTTAACTTGATGTTGTTTTCATGCAGTCCTTGGTGACCAGTCTAGGGCCAACGACTCGCCTTAATTGAAAACCAGGTTTTCATCATGGCAGCCAAGAGCCAAACCCAGGATTTTTGTTTTTTTATTTGCTTATTGTATTAATCTTTGGGTATTAAGCATTGTTTTAGCACACACTTCACATATAAGAGTCATATTGACTAAAATATAATCATTGCCAACTGACAATGCCCATTCGTATTTGTTTCCCCTGCAATGAGGGCATGTGGGTAGTCTGTGCATTTCGACGTAGAACTCAACCTGGTCTCAACACTTGCGTCACAGCCGCCACCGCTCAGCGCTATCGGTCGAGTGCGCAGCCAAATATAATGTGGCCAATGGCATCAAGGTACCCAATCTGCTTGGGGGGGGGGCGGGGAACCCACCTGAGCGTCATGTGCCGGACTGCCTCCAGGGACGTATAACCGGCAGCCAAGAAGTTGTCACGGTATCGTGCCATGTGGATGGCATCCAGCCACTCGGACACGGTGCGGACGGTGGTGTAACCCGGCACAGCCTGGCCGAGCAGCGGATCCGAAACCCTGCGGATGGCAGTGACCCGTGGTGTTATGGACAGCCACACACCCTGCTCTACATGTGGGTGGGTGGGTGGGTGGATGAGTGAGATTGGGTGAGTGGGTGAGTGAGGTATGTATGGTGAACTTCTTTCGCAACGTACACAGCCAACTGCGAGAATTGGAGGGGTGGGGGAAGGGCAACAAACTAAACACAAAAAAGCATGAAGAAATTAGTTTTCAATCTGGATTTAAACGTGCGTAGCTCCAGTGGCTTCCGAATATTGAAAGGAAGAGCGTTCCAGATGGCTGCAGAAACGTATCTGAAAGCAAGCGATATATTGGATGGCTATCCAAAAGCTGCTGTGAGGATGACCAGAGTTTGCATGATGGTCTATGCTCCTTGGGCGATATTGGCACGTAAAATGAAGATTGAATAATTGATTGAAGACTGATGCAATCTCCAACATTCTAGCATGTGCCGTCCTCGTCGTGGGAGAAAGACAACATCATGAGTTGATCTCTCTGAAACTGATGGCTGGAGGGGCCTCCAGTTTAGTGGTGTGGGACCCTCAGTGTTGGACAAACTATGGCCTGAGGGCAGATGAGAGGCCAAAGGAACCTACAGCAGGGTAGTGGGACCCTGCATAATCTGTTGATGACTAAAGGCAGATGAGCACAGTGCGAACAGAGGGTCTAGCAATCAGTGCATTGACCACTGAGCTGTTTAACATGCGTTCGAGATTGGGCTAAGGTCACTACCATGGCATTGACAAAGAATGCTGAATATGGTGATGTTGGCATTAAATACTCTGTTATTTCATTTACAGGGGCATGCCATGTGCTGAGCTTATTAAACCTCTTGTTAAGAAACAAAGAATCCAATACTATGAATGTATACTTAATTAGTCTTTCTTAAGTTAGCCTTTAAGAGAGTGCATCACATTAGACTTCCACGTGCTAAATACATTGTTATAATTCATGTAAATAAATAATTAACCACATTAATACATAAACAACATACAATAATTCACCCCGTACAATATTTCAGCTTAACACGTAGACTACTCTGTAGCTGAAAAAAAAGTCAGGAATGACTCGGGCAAGCAGTCCCGGCAAATGGAGCAAATTTCAGGCTTTACAGCCAGAAGTACATTTACGTTGCAACAAGTAGTGGGCTTGGGCAGGACGTGTAATCAGAGTGGATGATGCCAGGTGGTTTGAAATAATGATAGTGGCAGCCAAGAGAGAGAATGCACCCTCGATGACATTCATCATGGAGATGGAGCGATGAAATCAGCTCAAGGGCAGGTGCTGGGTGGGGTGTTGCATTGCAGGGATTGTGAGAGATAGCAATGGCTTGGGGAGGTCTTCATTCGAGAGCAGATTAATCACGGCCGACGGTGGTGATGACGATGACAGACAAATACACACGCGCACACTCACTGTGCATTGCTGTGCGAGGGGACATTGAGGCTGGCGGGGTTCTGCAGGAGCTTGTCCAGGTAGACGAGGATCTGGCCAGAGTTGGGCCTCTCCGTGCGCTCCTTCTGCCAGCAGTCGAGCATGAGCTGGTGCAGCGCCGGCGGGCAGTCCATGGGTGACGGCAATCGGTAGCCCTCCTCGATCGACTGGATCACCTGCGCCATGAAGCGGGAGTTGTACTGTGAACCCTTCACTTCCCTGACCGCAACCCTAATATTCTAGAAATAATTTTGTTGCCATGTAGAGAGACCCTCTGTTTGTAGCAGAAGGCTGCCCGATTATCCACCTTTGCTCTGAATACATTTTTTCCTTGCTGTCTGCAATCAAATAATTTATTTGGATGCGAAAGGACATCTTCTAAGAATGTTTTATTTTCCAATATTGGGCTGTAGGGTGAAACGACACCTAAGTGATGCCATGCTGTAAAAGCTTACAAATCTCACTCAATATTCAGAGATAGATATTCATATACAGTAAAACCTTGGATTGCGAGCAACTTGGTCTGCGAGTGTTTTGCAAGACGAGCAAAACATTTGAATAAATATTAATTTGATTAACGAGCGAGGTCTTGCAATACGAGCAGTACGTATACGCTTTGTCTGCTGAGCGTCACGTGATCACAACTGATATACGAGTGCTTTGGATTACAAACACGTTTTCGGAACGAATTATGCTCGCAATCCAAGGTTTTACTGTACTCTGCATATTAAAATAAAGGCACTGTGTTGGGATTTTTTGCAGGCTTATCATGCTCTACCAACACAATTATTCATACTGTAATTTATGTCTGTGCTTAGCTACCATTATAAATACATAGTGCATAAATGGACAGACGGAATGGATGAACAGATGGGCAATTAGATGCACAAATACGCAGTCATCTAACAAACTTGCAGACAGATAGATGGAGAGGAAACACACACGTACAGATAAACACATGGACAAATGTATAAGCTGACTGACAGCGAAAAAGGTTGATAATTGTGTCTCAGCCACTTACAGACAATTTAACTGCTGCCTTCACTGACAGTTGCTTCTGTGCACCTTTCCGTTGTCAGTCGGCAGTGACACTTAACAAAAAAAATACACGCACACACTGGGGGCGACTCACATCCTGGTTCGTCATGTTCCAGTAGGGCCTCTCTCCGTAGGACATGACCTCCCACATGAGGATGCCGAAGCTCCACACGTCGCTGGCCGTCGTGAACTTGTGGAACGCGATGGCCTCCGGGGCCGTCCAGCGGATGGGGATCTTGCTGCCCTGCGTGTCGGCAGCACGTTTCCGGCGTTTAGCACCCCAGCGAATCCGCAACGACGCTGCATCAGCTCGCCGTATTCGCGTCCACAATGAATGTTACACATGTGGGCAAATAATCCTGTGATGAGGCAAATTCCTGGTTGTCACCACAGCTGTGATGGGGAATTTAAAGCAGGTGGATGTCGCAGCAGTGTCACCCGCTCTCCATCCCACGCCCCGACAAGCAAACGATGGTTGCATAGTAACAGCAATTCAGCACTGCGATTTCGAGCAATTAACTTCTTCGAGATCCAGACATAAGTCTGCTTTATATCATTAAAGGCATTTCACAGCTTTATATCCTTCCCTCTGTGCTCTTCCCTTTCTCTTGTTTCTCTGCCGTGTTCAAATTACAACTTGGGGCTTGTGTTGTTATCATTGTATTTGCTGGTCATCCGGACATTGTGTACCCTGGTTCTGTGTTATCCTGTACTTGTAGATGTTTAATATATAACTTAAATAATAAATACGTGTTTTCGACTCAGCCATCCATAAATTATGAGGTTGGGTTTTGTCGAGTATTAATATCAAATGTGCACAAATATAACAGTTGCATGTAATTATATGGAATTTTGTTCATATACATGAGTGTACGAATTTTCTTTTTAAAAGTCTAATATACTCCCTACGTGTACATTTCATTCCACATGGACGGTTAAACGGCATCGACTATGCTTTTACAAATCACGTAATTGCAAATGTAATGCGGTAGCTGACTTCTCTGAGTGGTGGGCACTGAAATGGTCTTCTAATATGTATGTCGGGAGTGTATCGGTGACCACTATGAATACATGTATGTTAAATTCAGCATGGATGGTTAAATGGAATCGACTATAGCTTCACATCAACTCAATTTATATGAGTCCAGTTTTCTGCCAGTCTCGTAAAGGTGAAGTGAGACTGAAGTGTGAATTGCCACTGCAAGTATATTCAGGCTTTGGGTTCTTATTCTCAGCATCTGCGCGTGTGAATTCATACCCCGTGTATCACAAGGTTTGAGGTAATGAGTCTGAGTCAGAGTGGGTCTCAATTCCCACTTGGAGCATCACTGCTGATGGGGGTGGTGAGTATCAATTAAGTGGCATTAACATGAAAACTGTTGCAGTTGAACATTAAAATTCAGGATAAATGACGATCAAAATGAAAATTAATTCTTGAGATATGTTTTGGAGTTCAGGATTCCCAGTTAAATAGCTTTCATTTTAAAGATTAATATTTAATTCTGAATCTGAATTTCCGTGTCATGTGTCTCATGGCTGAATTTACGGAGTCTCGGTGAGTGAGTGTGAATCCCCACTGTGAGTCTCTAGGCTGGGTGGTGATGAGTCTCAGTGAGTGAGTGTGAATCCCCACTGTGAGTCTCGAGGCTGGGTGGTGATGAGTCTCAGTGAGTGAGTGTGAATCCCCACTGTGAGTCTCTAGGCTGAGTGGTGATGAGTCTCAGTGAGTGAGTGTGAATCCCCACTCTGGTCCTCAGGCTGTGCGAGGAGCGTGCGGGGGGGAGCTGCTCACGTGGGTGGTGTAGACGGCCTGCGGATCGTCCTCCAGTCCCCGTGACAGCCCGAAGTCGGACACCTTGCACACCAGCTTGCTGTCCACCAGGACGTTGCGAGCGGCCAGGTCACGGTGGATGTAGTTCATGTCGGACAGGTACTTCACGCCGGCCGCAATGCCCCTCAGCATGCCCACCAGCTGGCCCACGCTGAACTGCCCGTCCTGTTTCTGTTCAAACGGTTTATAACATCTGTGATGTTTCGTCCCTGTGCACAGCCATCCAGACACTTACAATCTGCTGGAATTTAGAAAGCCGTTCAAATACTTGCCTGTATTGTCAAGGGTCCTAGGCCTCTAGGCTTGCCTGTATACTGCTGCATGTTATAAAATAATAGCCATTCAAAATGGATTCAAAAGAGAATATTAATTGAACATGCAGGGTTCAATATAATTTTGGATATTACTTTATCAAGTCACCTTGTTTAATATTGCGTCATCTGATGTCGTTATATTATAAATACATACATGATACATAGTGAAGGAAGCTGTGGTGTAGGTTATAGCGCAGTTAGTGCATTTCCTAAGTTCAATTCCTGGCCGTGGCTCACGTCAGTGGCGAGTGATATCTGAATCGGTACTGGGGGGCCATTATCACCAACCCACACTGGCCATTGTGGTTAAGTATGATAATAGGCATGGCATGGGAAGGTCTTCAGCTATCAATGGATTTGAAGAAGGGATGTGGATTCTAAATAATTATTCCATAGATAGAACCTTCCCACGTAAAATTATATGTCTGACTACTCTGATCCCACTATTAAATTTGACTGCACTCGATAACAATGATTGCCAATCAATATTTTCCTCCTTTGTCATGGATCTATTAATTCATTACAATACTTTCATCATCAGCTGTCATATGAAAACAAGTGTGCATGGCCATACATGAACACATGCATCACTCATGGAAATCGCAAAATACAAACCCCCTTCCGTGACAATTTGAATTATCACCATCATTTACAAGCATTCGGGTCATCGTTATGACGCTAATTATTGGCAATTATCGCAACGTCCCATGGTCGTCATTCATAATTAGTCTCTAGGAAAGCTGGCCTGAAATATGTGCGTACTGTCTGCCCATTAAAACAGGACCATTGGGTTGCTAATGCATTCGACTTCAGCAAGTTGAGCCCACATTGAATACAGAAGCGACATTTCACCAGCTGAGTGTAATGACGCTCCACCATTGGTTATGCTCGCCACCTGTTTTGCATTATCCAGCTGCTTTTGCTTGTGTCTTTTCAATTTGAAATGCATGCTGCCTTCCTTCAAAGCGAGACGATAAATTACCCGGTAACAATGCCAGATAGGCTGCGTAAGTGTTTCAACTTCCATTCGAGATTAGGTAAGAGGCTGAAAATAAGAGACTTAGGTCTCAACTTCACAGCAGGTTCACAGAATTTCATCTCAATTCCGATGAGATACACTTTTCGGACACACCCTGTAATTCATGTGAACGCGGCGCTTTACCCGGAGGAAGGAGTCCAGGGATCCATTCTCCATGTACTCCGTGATGATCATTACAGGCGTTGCTGCAGGCAAAGCACAAGAACCCGGTCAATTGCTGCACATTAACGAGACGTTAGCCCTTCCATTTCACCTCGATTGCCACAAACACGGGGGGGGGGCAGGGGGGATAGCGTGAACATTTATGGGGTTATAGTGGTGAATATTTTTTTGTTGTCTTTGTTGCCGGTGATGCGGCCACCCCCTGTCCACGTGTGTGTTTTTTTTCTTTTACAAAATAGCAATTTGGAGAAGGAAAATAATCTACGAGTTCAGTTACCGCTTTGCACCATCGGAAACAAAGTGTCCACAGTTGTGCCAAGCAACGCTTTTGTTTCTAAATTGAACACGCCTTGGTGGCTGTGGGGTTTTATCCAAGCAGGTAATTGGGCTGTGTTTCAAGCGTGACAAAACACATATTACATTCCGTATTTAAGATGTAACTTCCTCAAATTTTCTTTCAATGTATTAATTCAGAGATAATCAACCTGAGTATTCTTCATTTAAAATCAACCACGTGACTATTCCAAATGCACACTTATTTGAAACACCTAATTTCTAATCGTCTTCATTCACTTTAAATTTCACTTCAGTGTGAATAGAATTTATATATGTGAATATAATATATATATAAATAAGCAAGCACCTATCAAGGCCAGCACGAGGGGCCAGTGTGATCAGCACCATGCCCGCCCAGCTTTGTCTCCCCTGTGCCAACGTTTACGCACCGCGCCAGCTATTCATTTAAGGCTCAGTCGACCTACTGAGCCCTCGGACCTACTCAGATATTCATCACTGATATTTTCCATGAACAGGATGCAAACTCAGATCACCAGGCTTGTTGTGCAGTGCCCTAACCCATGACACGCACAACAAAGACAAAGATCCCCCCTATAGCCTGTAACAGACTGGAGGGGCAAGTGCTGTTATCTAGCACCTATAAAGGCCGGCATGGCACACGAAGGGGTGGGTGGCCAACACCACGCCCGGCCGCCTTTGTCTCCCTCGTGGCAATGTTTACACATCGCACCAGTATACTAATTTGAGGCTGAGTCGACCTAGGGGAGGCCCAGGACCGGTTCAGATAATCGTCACTGGTGTTGGCCGTGAGCAGGAATCGAACTCGGGTCACCGGGTTCACAGCTAGCTAACCGCGACACTACCGCTCCCCACCATGACGCACACAGCCACTGACACGCATGCAGAAATAAAATACCCTGCTTATCCTGGACACACTGCTGCTGAGTACACTGTTTTGGTAAGTGCCTATAAAGGCCGGAAAGGCACCATTCCTGGCTGTCATTCACTCCAAACTGCTGATGTTGGCCACATCATCTCTCGTGTACCAAAGGCGATGCTTAAACCTAAAATCACATAAATATGCAATGCACCTGGGATCTGAAAGCCGAGGCAGTGTTGAGCCTGGATGGCCGTTGGATGGGTGACCGCCAGGGCTTGCCAGGTTGTGTGTGAGGTGGCTACGAGATGGCAGTGTTGAGAAATTGTTCTGCGGCTTGTGTGGGTTTTCACAAGTTCCTCTGGTTTCGTCCTAACGTGCCAAACACTCATGGATGGCATTTTCCAAATATCCCAATGCAGAACCAAAACTACAAAAATAGTATCTTCTGGAAAATAATTGACATTATGATTGTATATAAATACCAAATACTACTGGTGTAAATTTGCCCAGAATCGCAGTGTGGCTACTGCCTGGTGGTTTGTGTGCTGTCTTCATAAATGCGATTAGATATTCTTAGCAAAGATCCATACCTGCCTTAAAGAGAGAAGTTTAATGAATTAAGCGCAGGTGTGCTTTAGAGCTGCTAAAAATAGTCATGATTAATTTCACAGTTTCATTATTCTCTCCACAAGACCTGCCACTATTCGCTTTGATTATGCAGAATAACTGGTGGAGCGTAATCAGGAAGATGGCTGTTAAAAATAGAAGCACATGCTACATTCACAAACCCCCATCCTGCGATGTCTCACAAGGCTCCGTTCTCAGCCCACCACTCTTCTCATTACGTCTCCTCCCTCTTTGCAAGACCATCTCGTGTTGTAATGTAGAGAGCAGCTTTGGCACGTTGATGACAACTGGCTCTACATCGCCAACGACCCCATGACCCTGATCACAATATGTACTCTCGCATTCTTCCTTGAATTGCTCTAATTTCGGATTGGGTTTCAACGTCCTCCAGCTAAACATTTCCAAAACTTACAGTGAGGGAAAAAGTATTTGATCCCCTGCTGATTTTGTACTTTTGCCCACTGACAAAGAAATTATCAGTCTATAATTTTAATGGTAGGTTTATTTGAACAGTGAGAGACAGAATAACAACAAAAAAAATCCAGAAAAACGCATGTCAAAATTTTTCTAAATTGATTTGCATTTTAATGAGGGAAATAAGTATTTGACCCCTCTGCAAAACATGACTTAGTACTTGGTGCCAAAACCCTTGTTGGCAATCACAGAGGTCAGACGTTTCTTGTAGTTGGCCACCAGGTTTGCACACATCTCAGGAGGGATTTTGTCCCACTCCTCTTTGCAGATCCTCTCCAAGTCATTGAGGTTTCGAGGCTGACGTTTGGCAACTCGAACCTTCAGCTCCCTCCACAGATTTTCTATGGGATTAAGGTCTGGAGGCTGGCTAGGCCACTCCAGGACCTTAATGTGCTTCTTCGTGAGCCACTCCTTTGTTGCCTTGGCCGTGTGTTTTGGATCATTGTTATGCTGGAATACCCATCCACGACCCATCTTCAATGCCCTGGCTGAGGGAAGGAGGTTCTCACCCAAGATTTGATGGTACATGGCCCCGTCTATCGTCCCTTTGATGCGGTGAAGTTGTCCTGTCCCCTTAGCAGAAAAACACCCCCAAAGCATAATGTTTCCACCTCCATGTTTGACGGTGGGGATGGTGTTCTTGGGGTCATCGGCAGCATTCCTCCTCCTCCAAGCACGGCGAGTTGAGTTGATGCCAAAGAGCTCCATTTTGGTCTCATCCGACCACAACACTTTCACCCAGTTGTCCTCTGAATCATTCAGATGTTCATTGGCAAACTTCAGACGGGCATGTATATGTGCTTTCTTGAGCAGGGGGACCTTGCAGGTGCTGCAGGATTTCAGTCCTTCATGGCGTAGTGTGTTACCAATTGTTTTCTTGGTGACTATGGTCCCAGCTGCCTTGAGATCATTGACAAGATCCTCCCGTGTAGTTCTGGGCTGATTCCTCACCGTTCTCATGATTATTGCAACTCTACGAGGTGAGATGTTGCATGGAGCCCCAGGCCGAGGGAGATTGACAGTTCTTTTGTGTTTCTTCCATTTGCGAATAATCGCACCAACTGTTGTCACCTTCTCACCAAGCTGCTCGGCAATGGTCTTGTAGCCCATTCCAGCCTTGTGTAGGTCTACAATCTTGTCCCTGACATCCTTGGAGAGCTCTTTGGTCTTGGCCATGGTGGAGAGTTTGGAATCTGATTGATTGATTGCTTCTGTGGACAGGTGTCTTTTATACAGGTAACAAGCTGAGATTAGGAGCACTCCCTTTAAGAGTGTGCTCCTAATCTCAGCTCGTTACCTGTATAAAAGACACCTGGGAGCCAGAAATATTTCCGATTGAGAGGGTTTTTTTCTGGATTTTGTTATTGTTATTCTGTCTCTCACCTCTCACTGTTCAAATAAACCTACCATTAAAATTATAGACTGATAATTTCTTCGTCAGTGGGCAAACGTACAAAATCAGCTGGGGATCAAATACGTTTTTCCCACACTATATACTCATCAGCAAAAAGTCCACTCTCTGGAGAGACTCCAGTTTGAGTGTGCTCCTACTGAACTCTGATCTTACACTGGCCGATAGTGTGGAAAACCTTGGCAGGTGTCATTGATCCTAAGCTCCCGTTCTGTCCCCACATCTCACACCTTCGATTAGCATTGCTGGCTATGTACAATATGAAAGAAGTTCAACATACATACTTATGTACGCACATGTTGAACTTCTTTTTCACTGTACATGGCAAACCGTGCGAATCAGAGGTGCGGGGGAAGGACAACAAACTAAACACAGAAAACTGTTCTGAAGTAATTATTTTTCAATCTAGATTTAAAAGTGCATAGCTCCAGTGGCTTCCTAATATCATAAGTAAGAGCGTTCTCAAGTCTGCAGGACCTCATACCTCCATTCATGCAATATCTCCCACATTCACCAAGTCCTGATCCCAGCTGCCACTGATCCCAGCACCCTGACTTCACCATTGAAGCTCTCCCCAATGTCCTCCTCAAATCACACATCTCCAAAATAACGACGCCAGACTTATCACCAGCACCATGCAGTAGACCAATCCCACCACTGGCTCTCAATTCATGATTGGATCAATTTCAAGATCACAATCACCATCTTCAAGATCCTCTACGGACTGGCCCCTACCCCTACCTCTCTCCTCTCATCTCACTCTAGCTCCACTCCACACATTTTCCACTCCAGAAACCGAGGGTTTCTGTCAACCTTCACTCAGTGGGAGGTCGTTCATTACTCTGTTACCACCATTGTCTAGAGCTATCTTCCCCCACCCATTTGTGGTGTTGACTCCCTGCACCTCTTTATGTCTAGGATCATGAGCTCTTTTTTCCTCTCGCTGCCTCTTTCACAAAACGAAATATGCCCTTATGTTTCTGTACAGAGTCTCGAGATACTGTCTCATTGAGATGCTATATGTGTTTCAATTGTATCGTATTCAACAATGTAAATAAATAAAGAAAATATCCATCGATATTAAGTGGGGCACTGAACGCACGCATTATTTCTGCTTCCATTGTGAATCAATGAGCAAGCGTGCTGAACCAGCACAATGAGTACGCCAGCAACAAAACTCACTTGAACGTCTTCTTTGATTCTTTCGGTAAAGTCACGTAGAATGAGAATAAAATAATAAATTGATGAAATAAAATAACGCAATAATATTCTCACGTACGCCTTTTGGCGTCATCTGGTCGAGCACCAATGGGGTCGAGGCTCAAAAGAAAGCCGTCCCTTGGTGTGGACCAATCAGTTTCAAGGACAATGCATATATTATCATAGTATGTTATTTGTTTGCATTTTGACTGCAGGTATTGTGATTAATGCAGAAATTAATCCTTGTAAAATGGTTCCAGTTTTGTTGCCAGAAAAAAGGGGAAAAACCCTGTTATTATATTTTATTTCACTTGAACGTGTTATTAGTGTATCATTATATTTAAATTGGTAGACACTTGGCCTTAAGAATATCCAATGGTGATATTTGTAACTGTTGCATGTAATTTATATTCCTTTCAGGGTGATGCAATTCAGACCGTGGAGAGGGAAGACCTTGATTTTGGCGAAGAGACTCAATGTCGATGTTCTGACGTCAATATGTGACTGAGAGCAACATTCCAGGTTCGTGTTGAGTGTATTGTATATCATGTGTAATGCACACAGGTCCATTCAGCTCTTAGTTATTGTCGCAAATCCATTTCCCCATCCATAGTGTAGCCATCTTTCTGTTTTATTCAACCAACATTCTCACATAATGCTCAAACCACAACCGATAACTGAATTTGGCAAAACGTATATTGTACTCATCTTTTGGTGAACGCTCGAAAAGGCTGGACCAATCGCAGATTATATAACTTAATGGAGCATTGCAGAATGGCTAGGGACGTTTCCCACTGCTCTGAGCTTCTTCGATAAATTGTAAGAAAGCCTAAACGTGGTCCGGTGTGGCTTAAACCACTTTCAGCGACACACACACTTATTAAATGCACTGCTTGTGAATGTATTTGTTTTTCAATTCATTCAACTAATTATTGTTTGCAGTAGTGGTATAAGTCGTGTGAGTATTTCTGTGCTTGTGTCTTAGCACATGCACACACTGGCTTTGTGCTCCGTGGGCCACGTGCCAGTCGCTTCCCCCACTCGACGTTATCACTCGCCAAGGATTCTCGCCAGATTTTGCTATCGTGGCAAAAAAAAATATTAATATTTTGTGTAATGCCTTAAAGGTCCAAGGAAGTGGTGATTTTGTATTTAAAAAAACGACACTCACAATAGATTTTTGTCTTCACATGATGCAAACTACAGCTTTCGTTTTATGCACGCCATATTTGTGAAGATAACGTGTGGATGAAGGGGATTTGGATACAGATGCGTGTATATTTGTGTGTAACTGTGTATATGTAAAATATATCATGGAGAACCCTTTTAACTTAATCTCCGTGAGAACGCCTAAAAACAGTGTGTGACGTTACAACTGCAAGTGTGAAATGAGTCACAATTTTGCGTAATTAAGGCCAACGGGAGTGTTCTATTTGCTCAAATGGATATGCTATTTTAACTAGCTAGGGGATAAGGGGAGGGTTCTCCCAAATAAAAGTCTCCCAAATTCCCATTGAACATTGTTAAAAGTTTATCCCCAGCGTAAAGTGCGGCATCCATCGTCCAGAGCAGAGAGATAAGTGTTGCCAACTGTACAGCCAATCCCTGCTAATAAGACAACTGTGTGATAATTTAATGTAATAGCTCTTGCCAGACCTCCTTGGCCTGATGATGAAACAATAAATAAGCCTAATCTCTGGTTGAGCGCGGTAATTGCGAGCAAAAGGTGCACTTTATGAACCACGACTTATTTTACGCCATATGAAATAACGAAATGTTCCTTTGAAGCCAAAGACATGTTAATGGAGTAAATCAAATAAATAATAGACTGTGAAAATATGTCTATATTGCACGAACTGCATTCCCAAAGCTAATTTGTGCCTCCTAATAAGTAAAATGACCTTAGCTACCCTGGACACGATATACTGGTTGAGGAGCCACAAAACTTCAATAGCACTCTTTTGGGACCAATTATGCACAACAAATACCATCCCTTTGCTAACTGAGATTGTGAGCATGCAAGCGCCCCCGTTAGTGAACAACGCTTAATTTTCTTCGCACGGTGTAACGAGCAGAAGACGAGCAGGAGGCACTATTCTTATAAGTGCATTGGCAATTTGTTGGTTTTTTGCTCTCATTAAAACTCACAAGATATTTATACGCTGCCCATCTAGCGCATGGCAATGAATTTTCGCACAAATTCCTCAGAGAACTAAAGCAACTTTGTTGAAATGTGCCATCACTTGCATTGTTTTTGTTAAAAATTTACGTAAAAAAATATCGACATCATCAACAACATCACCACCAGTCACTGTCTGCGGCAGCGTCTGCTGTTGTGTGGTGCCTGTACACATGCGTACACGTGTACACAGTATATGTGGTGGGGAGTAGTGGCACATCGGTTTGCACACTTCATTAAAATTACCAGTTATACAACAAACACCTGTTTGCCACTAACTGGCGGTCATATCACTCGCGCTTCTGCCAGGCTAGGTTCCAGGCCATCATGCACACACCCAGTGGAGAGTGGCATCTGAATCTGTCCTGGGCAACCCCAAGTATCATAATCCTGGCCACCTCACCCTCTCTTGTGACATGCCAGCCACTATCAATGCTCAGTCAATCAGCTTGCCCCTATTCTATATAAGAATACATTGGGAATCTTGCTCGAATGTGTGCTATGACATCATAGATAATTAGTTTGTGTCGGTATATTCGGAACCCCTCTTGTGATTCAATGAATTGCTATAATCTTAGGTCATGATTTGATTCAAGAATCAATTATTGTTTTGATATAACAGTGAATGTAGCATCTATAGTTACTGCAAATAAGTCAGCCGAATTAATGATATTTCTGAATATTAATTTTAAAAATAATTAATTTATCATGCGTGAGATATGTGCACGTAATATATCGCGAGCACACCTATTGATTTTAATCAATTCATATGTATGTAGTTACTTGCCAGGTATTTGCGCATGTGTGCATGTGCTCATCTGTCAGTGAAGCAGGCTCGTGCAGAGATGGAGGCAAACGCCTCCCAAAAACAACGTAGGGTGAAGGAGCGATGCTCACAACACCGAGCAGAACGCCGGGTGGCTTAAACACAGGTGACAGTGTGAAGCCCAGGTGGTGCATGAGCCAATCATCTCAGTCAGTTAACCCATAACACCTGCGTCTGTCCGATGACCTCCTACCAACAATTCTTCGACACTTCACGTGGCATCAAGGTGCAACTAGCCCGGCACAAGCGCCGCGGTGATGTCATTGTCATTTTTGGTGATGACTGCCGCCGTTTGCTGTTGTTGTTAGTGGACTCACTCTTGGTGACGACCCCCTCCAGGCGGATGATGCTCGGGTGCTCAAACTGGCCCATGATGCTGGCCTCGCTCAGGAAGTCCCTGCGCTGCTTCTCGCTGTATCCGGCCTTCAGGGTCTTGATGGCCACCGGCGCCTCGGCCTGGCCCGGCACGCGCAGGACCCCGCTGTACACCTCCCCAAACTCTCCTGGTGCGATGCAGGGGGGTTCAATTAACAGCAGCAAATGGTTAATTAAACTGAGCATTATAAACCGTAAGTGTTAATCCCCCCTCGCCGCCCGTGTTTCTCGACGGCAGGCCTCAAGTCTCATGCCTGGGCAGGCCTCTATACATTGACCAATCTTCTCCTTTCACACATAACTTAGGAACGCATTCATATGGAGATTAAAGAGCGCTTCGTGCATAAAAGGGACAATTCGTATGCAAAGTAGGTGATATATACGCTATATTGAGTGGGCACACGGTGAGAGGCCAGCTAATAATGAGTAAATTTTTGGACGTGAATGCAGCCTCATTAAGTAAATAACTAATTAGGCAAATACATACAGCACATACTACATTTTCTGGGAACCCCCAAACAAATGTGTGTGTGTGTGTGTCGAAGACATCACTCAGGCTGCTAAACAAAGCAAATAGCCTTGGGCATAGAGGACAACAATGGGCCAAAAACTAGCAGCAGACTGGTAGCGAAGAAAGGGAACAGTGTTGAACGGATGACCAAGAGGGAGATGGATGAGATGTGAATTAACGGTAACACAACAAATATCATGTTGCGAAGAAGATAAACAGAAGGCTTTCATCCAACAGGGAAATAGTACACGTCAACGATGATTTTGATTGAAAACCGCTTTGTCAATCCACTGCTGGATGAGGGCCGTACTCCATGCTGGTCAATGATGTAAGACATGGTCGGGGAATCAAATGCAGATGACCGAGTTCATAGTTGCAGAGCACCCAGTACTGCTGCCTATTTATATACTGTATGTTGAGATATTTGTTTGTGCATGGCATTGCAAAGAGATGTGTCACGAGTGTAAATGTTAAAGTTAGGTACGGGCCACCTCGGGTAAGTTAACCCCCAATAATCCCTTTAGTCGCACAAGTTAACAGTTAAGGCAGCAAAGAGAGTGCCCCAAAGGCTTGCGCTGAGGCAGATTAATGCCCCAGTTTCACCCCAGGATACTCTCATAAAAAAGCCATAGCCCTGAACTCACAAAGAATTCAAACCCCTGCACCAGAGCCAGTGAAAGGCTCATTGACTTTCATTGAGCAATTTTTTAAACAATGATCTTAAGAGAGGATTTTGTGTTCTAAATCTAATTTTTTATGTTTTACGGCTACAAAATACCCTCGGTGAGCTGGCATTAAATCCATCTTTTTTTTTAGGTGAAGATTTTTTGTTTCAGAGGTTTACTCATTCTAAAACGAGCACCTCTCTTCGCAAGCGCTTAGAGTGACACGGAGGCAGGAGAGTGAGGTAATGACCCACCCATTTCAGCAGCTGCCCAGTAACAATCAAACTTCACCATGGTAGCCCTGACCCCCGTGACACATCAGCATCTCAACAGGACTGTGATTGCGAGCATCCTTCGTGGCGTTAGTAAAATATAAGCGTGAGATGTCATGCGTGCGTTTTATTTGGCATTTATAGTGTGCTGAGTATAATTAATTCCGGTGCACACAAGTGATGATGTGTGCACATATATTGCGTGTTTCAGGATCTGCATCAGCATATTTTGACCAATATTACATTATGTGCATTTTGTTTTTCCAAAAAACTTGTTTGATATAAGCAAAAAGCAGATGAAGGAACTTTTTCAAGAGTACGTTTTGCATGTTACACTATTTTCTGTTTGTTTATTAATGTATACACCTGGACCTGAATACTGACAAACTTTATAACAATATTTTATATTTTAAATCTGCCTAATTATTGAATCACCTACAATGCTCAACAACAGTGCATAATGAGGATTGTTATTGTTCTTGTAATTTATGCACCTAAACATTTAAACCAAGTCAACCCTAGCATAGAGCCAGGCTCGGTTTGGTTACCGATTGCCCCCTGTTCTGTTTTCGTGTTCTGAAATCAAACCCAGGCTGCTAGGATTGTAATACAATGCGCTAATCAGTACCCAACCATTTCCTATATCTTACATACCTTTGCAAACCGAAGACAAATATCTCCTGTATAGCCTTAACAGACTGTTAAGGCAAGTGCTTATAGAGCACCTATGAAGGCCGGCACAGCACACGAGGGGGTGGGTGGTCAGCACCGCCCGGCCGCCTTTGTCTCCTCAGTGACGATGTTTACACACCATACCAGGGACATATTTCAGCTTGAGTCAGGACAGGTTCAGATAATTATCGTCACTAGTGTTTACCATGAGCGGGAATCAAACCCGGGTCGCCGGGTTCGTAGCGCAGCACGCTAACCGCTACACTAACACTCTATGCACACGCACACACACATACACCACACTCTTAAGAAGCACACGTCCCAGCAATGTCAGCGATCTCCAGGTGGAAGGAGACACGGCTGCAGGTGTTGTGCCCAGGGTTGGATTGACACGGGGGCCTTATACGGGGGAAGGTGTGGGGGGTGCAGTGCAAAGCCTCGGATTTTGAGAGGCCCCAAAAAATGTATACACAATGCTTGGAGCACAAGACTGCAGCACTGCAATACATCCTATCGTGCAAATTGGTAATTGAAGCCGTGGAATAACTTCGTGCATTACTGCCAGCTGCGTGCCGGCATTAAAAGTTTTGTTCGTATTAACTTTAATTTAGCTTTATAATTAGGACTTGGCATTTTTTGAAAAACTCATTAACTAAACAACCAAAGTTAGGAGCAATAGGGCATCTCGGGCACGAGTGCTGGTAAATCAGTAAATGGAAGGAGGCCAATGCAGAAAGAGAGGACTCCAAAATCTCTGACAGTAAAGCGTCCGCAGTCGTGGCGAGCGCTGCGCTATGAACCCAGAGCCCTGAGCTCGATTCCCGGCCACTGTTCACATCAGCGACGACTGACGTCCGATCTGGTCTGGCTCCCCCCCCCCCCCCCCCACCCACCCACCCACCCGCTTTTCACCAAACCTACACTGACCAATGTGGTGAAGTATGGCAAAAGAATCCCACGACTGATACAGCAATAACAAAACAAACCTTCAACCAGCGGTGGATTGACGAAGGTCTGTATTTGTTTTTGGATGTAGTCCTGGTTGCGGCGGTTGCCTTACCCGCTCCCACCACCCTCTGGATGGAAATGCACGAGACGGTGATCTCCTTGGCGAACTCGTGCACGGCTTGCGCGGGATCCTCGTACGTGTGTGGGTCCACGTAGGTCTTTATCCGCCGCAGCTTTACTGTTTACACAGACGGGGGGGGGGGGGGGGTTGGTGGGGAGGGTCCTCGTCAGCTTTGCTGTCAAAGTGCCAGTGCATTGGCACACGACGAGAATGGCTTCGTTCAAGTCCAGCTGAGCTGTTCATACTTTTATGGGTAGTTTAAATGCGTTCTTTGGTGATGCTGCATTGGCAGTGGTGCACAAATAAAAACAAAAACTCAACACACTCGTCAACTACACTGTCTTAAAAGTGAAATATATAATTGACAATGTTCCGGGCGATTGTTCTTCTTCATAGCACATAAAACATGAGGAACGGCTATTGCCATGCATTTTGATGATTATGTGTTTTATTTTTTTTATTTTAAGGCAGTGTTGTTGGCTAGTGTGTTGATTTACATATATTACATAAGTGGAAATGCTGTTGAAAACCAAAGTTGTAAGTTCATGCCTATTCATTGCATGCATCGTAGTATGGAAAAGCAGCGAATTACCAATAAGCCAAAATATCTGGTGAAATGTGTTTTTTTGGTAATTTCAACCTCCTCCGTATGAACTAAATTTTATATGTTTTCAAATGACTCCTCTATAATTGAAACTGGTGGAGCAGTCTAGGAGGACGTCTCCATACATACAAACATATAGTAGATTAACTGCGGTTATCGTAGAGACTGTACCCTATATGGTATTAACACAAGCAACTTTGACCACAAAAAAAGTCTAAACCAATCTATGTCTTTTACTTGGCTAGATGAAAACCCTCCAGAGACATAAATTGCTGCTGTATCGAACATGCTCAGGAAACAAACAAAAAAATGATATTTGTAATCATAGCACAATGTTTAAGCTGTATCAACACACTGCTGAAACTTTCAATTATCTTGGTATACTTTACACCAGTGCAGTGCCAGTTCAATTTTTGTGCACGTGTGCTAAACTTTTTTAGCTCAGAGTTTTCACCAACTGGTCATGTATATTAAACAGGACCCTGTGTATACGAATAACTTACTGTGACCGCTCCAGAAGTTGAGCTTCTCTTCGTCCGGCACGTGGCCTCCTTTTGTGTGTCGGCAACGTCTAACAGGAAGGAGGAAAGTTGCAGCTCTTAACCTCTCACCCAAAATGCCCAATGCAACATTGTTCCTAAAAAAAAAAATCACAATTGCCAATTATATTATTACGACTAATACTCCTACATTTATTTTCCCTTTAAAGCCTCATTGAGTCTCAAGACTCCTTTCCAGGTGAGTCATTCAAAGGTTCGCACTAGATGGGGTTGATGTTGCTATGCGTTTCCCAACGGACTAATTTGCCAGTAATCTTTCGGATTTGCCACATTTGGAACAATCCTTCGGCACACAACAGCCTACTCGATTTCGAATAACATCACGGGGTGTTTAATGTTCAGGTTCGAGCCCAGAGGTTCGAGCCCAGAGGCTCGAACCTTGAACCTCTGCACAACAAGCGGGCGAATGGGCTTCCGCTCGGTCATGTCACCACCCCAGCAATTAAATCATTCATCACTCGCTTATTTCATTATTTCCGCTTTCCCATGCTGGCAGGAAACCCCAGCTTGGAGCGAGTTCCTTTAATCGTAATGTAAGCAGCTACAATGCAGTAGCTGTGGAAGCAAGGTCGTACTGCAAGCATGCAGAAAAAACCATGAAGCCGGCATGGCATGGCTTAATAGCTATGTTAACCTTTTGCGCTCACACTCTCAATCCAATGGACTCTCACAGACAATCCAATGGGATTTTGCAATTCGTAAGCCTTTAATGCTAAAGGTTGACTATGAATTGGCACTAAATGTCTTCTTGGCTGATGCTTGCTGTAAATAATAATATTAAAAGCGCAGTTTAATCCCAGCCCAGCAGCAATGTAAATTGCAGGACGTTTAATGCACTGCTGTTCTCTGTAGCTCTTATCTTTGGCGATGACATGATGAAAATTATTGCCAATTTAGTTTATATGGAAGGAAGGGGGTCGGGGGCACATTTTTTTCAGCTGATGCAGGGAACATTAAAAATGCCACTATCGGTACAGCTGTCTCACGTGAATTTCCAGCTGTTAATATAATCAATCATGTTAGGAAAGTGCTTTATCTTGAAGGGCATTCGTTTTTCTAGTTAATGCCTTGTGACAAAGTTGATGAAAAAAAGACTTCCCCCAACTTCAGAAGTTTGGGCTTCTTAAACAAGGACCATGGAAATATAATAATCCTACGAATATAATACCGTGCTAACATGAAATATAAATGTAAAACAAATCCACGTTTCAGTAAACACACCACCGTTATTATTAACCTGCCTCTTTGTTGTAAATGCGCTGTTTGAAATGTGCGAGCCATTTTTGGGCTGCACACACACAAAAGGCAATGATACTGTGATTAGAAGAGGAAGCCCAGATAATTTTGCTCTTGTTTAAACGCCACTATATTTCCTTGGGAACATATCCCCAGGAAAAAAAAAGACCTCCCACATGTGTTACTTCGCAAAGAAGCGAATAAATAGATAAACAAATAGAAATGCAGCTCCTTGCCTGCAGTGGGCCATTCACTGCTTGTTGACACAAGCAGTGGAAGTGCCACACTATTGTGAAAGCCGCGGCCTCGTTTGTCTGGCACAAAATTGCCTCCACAGTTCCCACAGAGTGACGCGCAGCGAGAATGCGTCTGCCGAGTTTGTGACCGATGGTGCAGCCCTTTCGATGCCGGCCCTCTGCGAGTCCGTGCAAAGGAGAGAGTGACGCCCGAGGAGCAACGTGTTTAAGCATGCGATGTTGCAGTGGGTTATGTTTTTTTTTTATGCGATGTGCTTCGCACGGAAAGCGGCGTTCGCGAACGTTCCACAAAACCGCAACGAACAAGCTCTGTCCGTGACTGTTTCAAGAGCATCGAGTAGTGCGGCTAGTTTTCTCACGCAAACACACAAAGACAAAGGTCTGCTGTTTAGCGTTACACACCACCACATGACGAAGTGCTGTTAGTGAGCACATATCAAAGCCAGAATGACATAAACTCAGCTGCCTTTGCCTCGCCAGTGCTGATATTCGCACACCTTGGCAATTATTCATATATGGCTGAATAACAAAGATAAAAAAAGATCCCCGGTGTAGCCTTAACAGACTGTTGGGGCAAGTGCTGTTAGCGAGCACCTATAAAGGCCAACACGACGCCCGGCCGCCTTTGTCTCCCCAGTGGCGATGTTTAAACACCGCACCAGGTACTCATTTGAGGCTGAGTCGACCTAGGGGAGGCCCAGGACCAGTTCAGAAAATCGTCACCGGCGTTGGCCGTGAACGCGAATCGAACCCGGGTCGCCAGGTTCGCAGCGGAGCGCGCTAACCACTACACTGCCGCTCCCCACACACACACACACAGAGATACACGAAGAGATGGGAGAAAGTGCTGGAGGGATAAGGGGATGGAGGCAGCGGTTCAAGTAAAGGGGTGCTCGGGCGGTGGGTATGTGGCACATACCCTCCGCTGATGAAACAGGCGATGAAGAATATGAGCAGCAAAATCACCATGGAGACACAAGCCCCCAAGATGGTGATCTCCTTCATTTCTCCTGTCAGGGGGCTCGCTGCAGGAGACACGCGGCGGGAGAAAGGTTAGCAACTCCTTTTGAAAGTCGAGAGATTTATCTTAAATGAGATCAGCGACATGTGATCAATGTCTACAAGAAAGAGGGAAGCTTAAACCAATTTTAAAACTAGCAAAATGAAAATTCTTCCATTTTTATGTAGCACTTTCATTCATTATTATTTTTATTCGACTGCACTTTTGTATTTTTTGAGGTGTGGGAGAGAGAGGTGAATTTGTTCGTGGATATTTAAAGCCACTTTTGAAGGCCTGCTCATTCCAAATACACAATTTTCAAACACCATTTTTTTTTTTTAGACTTGACCTAGAGGCTCTTGTTCTCAGGTCATACACCACCCTCAAACTACAAACTAAGGTTTCCACTGTGACAAATTTGATTGAACTATAGGCGGCTGGCTGTCAAAGCTAGCGTTGTTAGCGAGCGCCCATTAAGGTCAAAGTGCCACATCAGGAAGTGATTTAGCCAGCACCGCAAATACCCAGCCACCGCACTTCGGACCTTCAAAATACCATACAAATTTCAGGCTTTAGTTCACCAAGGTGAGGTCAACCGTTCATTCTTTTTGCTCACTGCCTCTGATGTGTATGGCCAGTAATAAAACCCAGCCACCAGGATGATAGCCAGGTGCGTTATAATTACACCACTGCTCCACGTGCTGCATGAACGCACACAGTAATCTTCAGCCCTTGATGCATCATGTCCACTGTGATGGACTACTATTGTTTACATAACTGCCATACAATTCTCTGCATTAAAAATACACATTTTCGAGGGGCTGTTTTGACTCCTAAAATTATATTAAACCTCCAAAAGAGTTTTCCTTTCCTCTTAATAATTCGTGCATGACGGTTAGTTTGCAAATAATCCTAGGGAATAAACAAAAATACACAAACTCAGTAAAAACACAGAGAAGAAAGGAAAGAGAGATGAAGAGAGATGAATAGACACTGAGATGGACAGACTTGCTATAAAAAGACACGCACAGAGACAGCATGGGAAAGAAGGTGACGAGAGGTGAAGAGGGACCGGGAGGCAGCGAGACAGACAGACACGCACGCAGTCCGTCATGCGGACGAGCAGATCATATTCTGTGAGAAAGGGGCACCTTGGCTGGTGGAGTAGAAGACCCGGGTGCTGTAGGCTCCAAAGCCTGCGGCTGTGCGCGCACGCACGCGGAACGTGTAGACGGCGCCCGCCCGCAGCCCTGACACGGTGGCACCACGAGCGCTGGCCTTCACCAGCGTGCAGTTCTGCTCCTTCGAGTCCTGAATCGCAGTGATGCACAACGTCGGATCGCGGGGCTCGAGGCCACGCCACAGCTTGCGCCTGAGCGGTCTGCTGCGCTTGCATCTCCCTGTCCAGTGGCGACGTGACAGCCGGCCTGGCGCCTCTCGGGTCTGTGTTTATTCGTTGTGTGAACATTGCCACGTGGTTGGCATTCTGGTTGCGTGTGTGATCGCACGTGATTGAGACGTTATCCCATTGTTGAATCAAAGCTGTGTGTTTGCCGGTTTGTGTATCGTGCGCTTTGTGGAGATTGACGTGAAAACGTTTTGATGCCGAGTCGTACAACAAAACTTATCACACTGTGACATTTTGTATTTATACACGTGAATTATTACCGACATTACTTACACAATACATAAAACAACTACGCTAAGTATAAAATACATAAAGCACATTAATTTTGCACATATATAAACACACTTATAAAATTACTTGTACAACTAGCGAGAAAGGAAACCGGTCACGTGATTTATTTTACAACCAGTCCAATGGCATTACAATGACAGTGAGAATTGTGAGGTGTAGGTCTGCTCATAAATTATCGCCGAAATTGTAAATGACAGTGATGCTTCCTTGAGGGGCTCCCCTTTACAGACCCTCCATGGTTGCAAATAAGGTGCGACAAACGCCCCTAATATTGTACACGCTCTGGAACATTGGCCCATGTGGGGGACTCCTTTTCTGTGGACGTCCCTAAGGACCGTGGGTTTGAGGGCCACTGTCACGTGAAATTGAAACAAGTCTTCACAGCAGCTCCACAGTAACCTGCTGGGCTCCAATTGGAATTTAAAATGTGCGCGCGATCATATAACATCTCTGACAAACCCTCTTAACCTATACATTTCGCCCTATTCATCCTTGCCCCCCCCCCACCCCTCAAGCCCACATCCCCCCCCCCCCACCCCCCACAATATGGTTGTTATATGCAGACAAAATGAGGTAAAGGTTAGTTTCCTGGCCGAATGGTGTGTCTCGTATTTGAGGGCTTACATGGAATTGAGACTGTCGGTAAAGGGGAGACGCATTGGACGGTAATTTCTCGAACAGTGTTATGGCAGTTTTAAAACCAAGCGAAATATGCCTGATGTGTCAACTTGTGTACAGCCAGTGCTACACTTAGGAAGATGTCTACCCGTGCAGGTATCACAGTTACAATTAGGCGCTAGCATCATTTTGGCAATGAACTTTGCATCGTGGCAGCCTGGTATTGTACATTGCTGTCCACCGACTTGTGTGTAGTGTGCCCTGAAGCAACTGTTCACTAAGAGCATCTGTCTCTGTGTTCCCAAATAAGTAAAAACAAAAAGCAATGTTTTCATTAGCATTAATGCCCTCCCACACTGCTTTGGGTTTGATTACCTGTCAAGCCAGTTAGTTCGTGGTATTCTACTTCTTTAAAAATGCTTAATTCCAGATGGTCAGGTTGATTAAAATGACACAGTAAGGGCCGTGATCGTTTTATAACGTAGTCATTTAAATCATGCATTAACTTCATACATATGACCAACATAAACACAATGAAATGGGCACATGCCAATGGTAATGAGCAACATTAAACATTTTTAACTTGTATTTCACAGTCACATCATAAATAAAAAATACAAATTGCTAACCAGAAGCTGACACACTGTGAAATATCAGCAAGCAGGCATTGTCATTTGGACTAAAACTACGATGAGAGGCATCTGTGCATTGTGGGACATCCGTCTGGGCCAGAAGATGCCTGCTCTCCACACCCCATTTGCGTTTGCAATTACTGGGGCTGATTTGCTCAACTGATGTGGCAGCGCGCCAGAATTGTTGTCAGAAAATCTCCTGGGATGAGTCGTACTCCAATTTTTTGCGGTAATGTGGAAACTCTTCGAAAAAATTCAAAATTAGTGTTTAAAATGTATCCCACGGGCTCTGGTGCAAATTCAAAATCTGTGCAGTTGTGCAGAGTGTTTAAAATGCATGTAAGGTTTCAGATATATATGCTTGTTTTAAATGTCTGGTTTAATACTTTGTTCACACTACCAATTCGATTTTAATTATATTGCTGCTTAGTATACAATTAGAATGACAGACATACTGAATCAAATAATAGAACATTCAATTAACAATAACGTGACTCCAAATTCATATTAACAAACATTTTATACACAAAACTCTTTGATTATCCATCGTACATACATGTAGTGTGATTTTCAGCACTCTCAAACTTTTGCTTTAATTATTGGAGACCGATGCCAGAAAGAAAAAGGAAAATAAACATGGCAATGTACGACCCTGTCTGACTTATCCATGAAGTACTGACCTTGTGGCAGCAGCTGAGTTCGTATTCCAAAATTATTCCATTTGGCTGCTGGGGTTCACTCCACGACAGCGTGAGGCTGTCCCGTGTCTCCCCTTCCTTCTGAACCACCAGGATCTCAGAAGGTGCTGGAAAAAATTCGCGTTATACACATACAGTATATATAAGTAGGGCAGTATAGCGGCATGTTGCCCTCCTTATGATATACGCAAGCTGAAAGAGTCAAAGCAAATATTGTGGGCCTCATGCGTGTGCTATCATGTGTGGAGCTTTTATAGCAAAGAGAATAAGCATTTATTATGTTTTCTGAATTGAGACTGATCCAAATTCATGGGTGACTACCTGTGCTCACAATCACAGCTCATCCAGCCCATTTATAAACATACGCAAGTCTGCCTGGGATCGCCGGTTCAAGTCTATATCGCTGCCTAGCAATTTCCGCAGCACATTACCGATATGCACTCCATGTTGTAAAATTAATGTTATAGACCCTGTGGTGGCTCCCTAATGTGGGGTATTGTCTAAAAGTGCCATGGGCCAAAACGGCCCACGGTTTTATTTTGTCATTTACAAACATTTACCAAGACCTCGTGCTGCCTGGCCTTCTCACCAGTGTGTGTATGTGTGTGTACATTGAGACATAATGAATATTGCTGCAAGGATGTGGGTGTATTATTTAAATACATTTTTTCATTTAACTAACATCATGTTAACCAGAGAGAACATTGCAAAGGAAATTGGCATAAAATAATACACAACAAAATAAATATAAAAATAACCGTGCAACAGTACAAAATAATGAAATAATATGTCCTCTTACACTTCAACAGACACTTGAAATGCATTAACTATAAATTTACATTTGGAATATAATAAACATGGCTTAATACAGAAGCACTTTATAAATATATAATTAAGTTTGTTAGTATATTAAAGAGGTACATGTATTTATATTTCAGTGTTTATTTTTTTTATTTATCTTTTATTAAATCACACTTAACAAAGATCCAAATTTTGCTACCAGATTTACATGATAGCAATAAGAAGTAGCATTCCATAATTAGTGGAAGATGGCGAAACATCATCAAGAATTACCTCAAATGGATGATGCAACGGAACTACTTTTTAGATTCCTTCATTAGGCCTCTCTTAACCACAATGCTCCTTCTCACTCAATAGAGAATGCCAGTCACTTGCAAACCATTTTTGTCCAGGACGTCCTTGCTGTATATGTCAAGGATGTCCTGGACAAAAATGTACAACCCACGTTTAGAATTTTAATATAACCCACACTGATTATGTTTAAACCAATTCACAGTTATCTTAGATAGCTTTAACCTATGTCATCTTTCCACAGATGAAGTCACAATGAATTCAATAATAACTGTCATTCATCCTCTTTAGTAGTCTGCTCAAAACAAAATAATGTTTTCTGGACACTGAGCTTCATGGGTTATATTTTTTCAGGATACTCCTCATTTGTCCTAAGAGCTGAAATATTCCAAAGTTGAATGGACCCCGCATTTTATTTTGCATTGCCTGCATTTGGAGGCACAATCAGCGGCAAAATCACACGGAAATATGAATCCCATCTAGTGAGTGGCAGACATTGATTTTCACTATTCAGTTCTTGAACAAGCTCCCAGCTCTTGGAGCGTGGAGCGAAACATCGGACATCAAGCCGAATACATTGCAGAGCTGTACAGTACAATCACGAAAACCGACATGGTCGAATTGAACGGCAATCCTCGGCAACCTGTTTGGCCACCATATATGTACATATAGCCTATCACATTGTGATACTGAGCAAGGAGAATACCAGTGACATGTGCACGGTGTCGTACACCCATCACGGCACGGACGCGGGGGATCCTCACCGGCCTGGTTGGTGGTGAGCGACACGGACACGGCCTTGGGCGGCGCGGGGCTGAGCCGGGAGACCCCGTTGAGCGCCTCGATGCGGAAGGTGTAGTTGGTGTGCGCCAGCAGGTGCGCGATGGTGACGCCGGGCACCGCGAGGCCCTCGCGCCGCGGCAGGAAGCGCACGCTGTCCCCGCACGGAGCGCACGGCGACGTCGCCGCCGTCAACGTCGCCGCTGTCGACGACGACGGTGCGGCGGCGGCGGCGGCGGCGGCGGCGTCCCTGCCCCCGCCGCACGTCTGGCACACGAGGCGGTAGCTCACGTCGCCGCGGCCCCCGCTGTCCTGGGGGGGGCTCCACTCCAGGATCACCGACGTCTCGTTCACGCTCGAGATCACGTTGCGCGCCGCCGACGGGGGGCCTGGAGGATGCCACGTGGTTAGTGAATTGACGCCGAGTGTGCCGAGCATGGTGGCCACAATGTGCCCTGCTGGTAGCGTGATGAATAATCGAGGGTGTTATGAACTATTTAAAAGTATATATATTTTACCAGGTAAGGCCCACTGAACTATGTAGCTTTTTTTCAGAAGCGACATGGCCCCAAATGGTAGCTCAATGAGGTGGCTTGTCATGTGGACATTTATCACAGCCAAATTTTCTAAACACATGTTTCTCAATGTGGAGGGAAGAACTGGAGGACCCCGAAAAAAATCCATGCGACCACGGGGAGAGAGACATGCAAACTCCAAATATGCAAGCATCAGAGTCAAGATCGAACCCAATATCTCCTGCATACCAGGTGAGGTAGGTAATATCTGGCTACCTCCGTTCTCTGTCTCTGCATGTAGATATAATCAATGTTTAGTCGATCGGCAAAGCAGCTTTCCAAACCAATATTTCCCAGCAGAATGTGGAAACCAGCCCAGACTTTGCTGGCTTAAGCAAAGTCTGGGCTGGTTTCCACATTCTGGGTCTCATCGGAAGAGTCAGGCTCGTAAAACAAATGCTGCTGGGTTGCCAATTGTTATTGGAAAGAGCACTGCATCTCAATGATCGGACACTGCAAACAAAAAAAACTTCATTCCTAAAAGAGGTTGGTTAATTACCCTGACACTGGAAAATAATTTGTAGGACAACCACCTGCATATGCAGGATTGTTATATGTATACAGAATATGTAACCGAGGACGATTACTTGATGGTTGAAATGCTGTGAGGCAAGGATTTTATCCTGGATGTTTGAACATTCGGCCCATGGAACACTGAGTAAAATTGCCACAAGGCAATATTCAGCATCTGGCTAATGTCCTCTACATGTGTCCAGTATATGTGTGCCTTTGTCTTTGTGTATGCGCCTGTAGTGGTTCCAGCATAGTAACAAATTACCAGCATAAAAAAACAAAAGACCTTGACAGCAGCAATAAAACTTTTCTTTCCACTGTGACGGTGGCAATCAGCACGGGTTGGCCTGTTGTATGCAAAGTTTTAAATTTGTTTATTTTACAAGCCGTAACTACAGGCGCTCGTGCAACCTTGTTCGGTTTAACAGATTGTGCAGTCAAGCATGTTTATGGCTCGCTGGAACACTTGTCCCGCATTAAGCCTTTACACAGCGCACCCAAAAAACCTGCAAACAGCCTTCCCCTAACTTCCACCCCAAACTCCACCTCTCCCTGTTCGTTGGCACTTTCTTCCCCCATGGAGCCTTCTTCCTGTCGCCTTATTGTCGGCTTTACAACCACTGGCCAACGCATCGGGTGCTTTAATTGCTCCGTGTCATGAATGATTCGGAAGGGCTGTCCCTGAGACCTGGACAAATGGCAGACCGGGACTGTGGCTTTATGGGGCTTTTTATAGCCTCGGCCAACGTAGGCGAGATGTCTCAGTGAAATTCATGCTGAGATCGGGTTTAGCTCGCCACAGCTTGCACGCAGAGTGATGCCACTGGAATTAAAATGTCTCTGAAAAAGGAATTGGATTGGTGACGGTGCATATTTAATAGGATAGTCTCTTCTTCTGACATGGTAAGCACTCCTTGAGAAATAGTATTTTTTAACGTCTTTTCGAGTAGAAATTGAAATCCTTTCCAGCGTTCCCTATGTGCCACATGGCACACAAAGTCCGATCATTAAACAGTCGAACAAATGAATAGTAAAATAGTCTAACAAGTTGCAGCTGTACACTTTAACCAATCTAGGTTTTGTGCCTTTTGTTTAAATCGTACACTTCTATCTTGAAAAAGTTGTTGAATTGATGCAGTCATCCTTATCGGCTACTAAATCAAAGAAAAATTCCACGCATGCATTGGAGACACTCTCATTCACCCCCTCCCCACACGGCCTGCTTTCTGTGCGAGGATATTTTCCCTGAAAGGTCCCCGCGTTGTTGTACCCATCGGGGCAGTGGAACTGTAGCAGCGAAAGGAAGGCTGCTGGATGAGGACTGATGAACTCAGCAGGGTTCCCAAGCAAATGGATCCTCTGGACCGTGAATTAACAATTGGCGCAGTGCGCAGATTCGCACGTGGGGCCCGAGAGCCACCAGCCACCAGCCGCCCAGAAATTCGCTCGGTTAATCACAGCGCCAATGTTCATCCTCCCATCCCCCAACGCCAGGCCACAAAAGCCAACCAGGCTGACGTAAGGGACGTTGGAAGGGCGAAGGAAGGGCCGATTGCGCATTAATCACGGAGGCTGAGTGCTTGCGGAGTTTGTGAGAACTTTGTCAATCCCGAGGCGTTAATTGGCACGTGTTAGGCCGCGAAGTGTTCCGTTGTGCTGTGGTCTAGTGCCGGCTGTAGAGCGTGTGTGTGTGTGCGCGCGCGCGTGTGTGTGTGTGCGTGCGCCTTGCGGAAAATACGGTGACTTTGGCGAGAGGGGCCGGAGGAGGGGAGAAGCGGGAGTCGGTGTTTTGGTGTTTTGGACGGGTGTTTTTTTTATTGCGTGGCTGCTGTTTGTGAGCTCGCTGAGAGGAGCAGTCTTGCCTCGAGGCAGCAACAACAACGAAAAAGTTACTTTTTATGTCAATTTTAATGAACGCACAAACTCATTTCCGTTTTGCAAATATAAATAATGCACGCTTGCTGTTTGCGTTTTTTTGTCACTGAGATTTGTTATATGTTTTACAAAATATGTATGAACTTTTCAGTCTTCCATGCATCACGGCACGCAAGGAACATTTGAACGATAAGATGGAAAAGAAATATAAGCACTGTTGGTACAACATACCTTCATCAATCCTGATTAAGGGCACACGTCCGGGGACATTGCCTCGATGTATATTTCTCCTCCAGGGTAATTTAAAACTCTCTAATATGTGTGAGACGGAGAAAGTATCATTTCCAGGCTTGTGAACAGTTTGATGAGGCGGCATGTTAAAAGGCAAGTGGTGGCGCAAAGTAAATATGAAAGAAGAGGCAGATGTTGAAAGAGGTTAAGCAATGTGCATTCGTCTGTGGCTGTCAGGGAAGCGACATAAAATGAACACTGATTTCAAATGGATAGCGGATTTTGATCGACAATTTTTTGCGAGATGTTAACAATCCGTTGTCTCCAAATTGTTTCACAAAACGAGAATAAATATCGTACCAAAGTCTCTGCTATATGTGTGGGCCTGTGATCTCTTGAACGTATGCTGTCAAGAGCAATCATCATAAATTATGGTCTTCTAAGACTTTGATCCTTCAATTTATGCACACGATGTTCGATTAAGAGCAAAAATATAAATTAATGGCTGGAACATGATATTTGCCATCTCGGCACATGATGATGATTGTTTTAGAAGTGGTGGTGGTAAAGGGTTCATGGTGGTAATGGATAAGTGATATAAAGTTTATGATGATGGTGGTGGTATCAGTGTGGGGAGCAGTAATGTAACGGTTCGCGCTGTGCTACGAAACCGGCAACCTGAGTTCAATTACCACTCATCGCCAACACCAGTGACGACAATATGAACCAGTCCTGGGCCTCCCCTAGGTTGACTCAGCCTCAAATAAGTACCTGACACGGTGTGCAAACGGTACTAGGAAGACAAAGGTGGTCGGGTGTGGTGTTGGCCACCCACCCCTCGTGTGCCATGACCGGCCTTCATAGGCGCTTTGCGAATAGCATTTGCCCCAATAGCCTGGTCAGGCTACACGGGGCATCTTTGTCTTTGCTGGCATGGGCGTCGCCGATCGCGGTGGTATTTTCTCACGTGTGCAAGCCATGCTGACGGCGTCGCTCTCGGCCTTGTAATAGCCGGCCTCGCAGAAGCAGCGCGCGGGTGTCTCCCGTGTCGAGTAGCTGTGCGCAGGGCACAGGGAGCAGCGTTCGTCCCCCGCCGCTTCCTTGTAATAGCCGAGAGGGCAAGCTGCAAAGCAGAGCAATCCGGACACGTCGTGAACACAACGCAACGGACACATTCGGACGATCGCTCTGTGAACCTTTAAATGCAGCGTAGAGCTATGTAAATTAAAAATGTCTTTCGTGAATGCCTCTGCAAGAAAATCAATGTGAATGGTCATTATTTTGCTCAGGGTGAAATGGGCTGGTCCATAGGATTATGTTATGGGACTCACACAGACAATGTCTAATTCTCTTCTTTTACTGCTGTATTCAAGATAATGCTCTTTCACTAGCCCATGTCAATGCACACACACACACACAAGACAAAGATCCCTCGTATAGCCTGAACAGACTTGTGGACCAAGTGCTGCAAGCCAGCACCTATGAAGGCCAGTGTGCAACACAAAAGTGGGGTGGGTGGCCAGCACCACGCCTTGCTGCCTTTGTCAAGTACTCAGGCTGAGTAGACCTAGGGGAGGACCAGGACGGGTTCGAATAATTCGTCATTGGTGATGGCCACGGGCGGGAATAGAACTGAGGTCAGCAGGTTCAAAGCGCAGCACGCTAACTGCTCCGCCACTGTCCCCCTCACACACACACACAGCGACACACATATATCTTCGGTTGTTGTGTGCGAATTGAATCAGAATACTATTCTATATTGTACTCATTGTGCACGCTGCATCAGAATGAATTGGCCATCACTCTGTTCACAAACATAGCAATTTATGAGCATGTAGCTTTTTTTTGTCCCTCAGTAGCACAACACTTTAGTTCAATCTATGTTTAATACTATATTCAAGTCATTTAGCTGTCTTAAAAAAACAATTAAACTTTTTTTGGAATACGTGCTGTGTATATGGGACCTCACAGATTGCCAAAACTTGGATTATTATAGTTTAATTTCATTTCTGCGTTCTTTGGGGAAAGGGTTTAATTGAGCCTTGATATTTCAATTTACATTATAATTAGGAAGGCATGCAGCTTCGCTCAATGCTAGCATTTATTTTGTTATACTTTTTTATAGATAAAAAAACACCGTGATTTAAAACGTGTGATTTCAGAATTTCAGTTGGTCATGATATTTTATTATATTAATCGTTATACTGGTAGGAACGAAGTTGTAAACTGAGTGTACCAGCCTGCAATAGATTAATGTGTCCGTCCGTCCGTCCCCTTTCAATACTTTAACGAAGTGAAATCTCGTGCTGTTGGGTGTAAAATCAGCAATAGACAGCGCAGAGACTTGTCCTATCAGCCCACCCTGCAGGGACCTGTTTCTGTATTCACGTCCGCAGTCTGAGCTCTAAATTTTGATTGTAATGAAACTCAACTTGGCAATGTAAATCATCTTGAAAATGACATCAACTACATCCTATCAGTGTGAACTTTGGTTTCTGAACGAAATATTATTTATATAGATGTGCCCATCTTTGGCTAATAGATGTGCTATTTTAGCCAGGGTCAATATGTCCTCATTTGTTATATGTACAGAGAAAACGATGTCATTCCAATATAAAATACATATAACAAATAAGCTCATCGAAAGATGAGTTGTGATTTCCAATCTTACGGTCTGGCATTGTCAAAAGTGGTTTTTTTCATCAACGTGACTATATTTTACAATGACGGTGATAATATATGATAGATTCACGTTCATCTTATGTACGTATGTTTAGCTTCTTTCGCACCAAACGTAGCCGGCCGTGCTAATCAGAGGTGTGGGAGAAGGACAACAAACTAAACACAAAAACAGGTGTCATGAAACCAGTTTTCAATTTAGATTGTAGGTGTATTGCTTTCCTGCAATACATTATTTTGCTCAGCAATTCCTATCTACACTTATTTTCCCTATAAATTTCATATATGCTATAAGTTTGCCAGTTTGGCAAGCTGGTTTTATATATATATAGCAGGTTAACCAAAATAACGAACCCTTCATTAATGAATAGACATCACAGGGTCCTATGGTCTTGATTAATTTATCACTTTGCACATATTCAACACTCTATCATTATTTCCCTTCCTAGAAATCATCATTTATATTGCACGAAAATCTGGTAAAAAAAAAGTTTATTGTCTTCCAAGAGCATGGGGAAAGTGAATCAAACTTAATATATCTTATTGCGAACATTGATTTTGAAAATAATCTCTTCACATGCGCAGATAGGGAGTTAAGTCCGTTCACATTATTTATGATGTGAAGGCCTACTTATTTTGTGACTCCTTGCAGGGAAGTGCTTTTAATCTTACACAGTTGGCACATTTGCATTGGCAATTACTTCTGCTAAACTAACAATGTCAGGGAAGCCTCCGAGTTATGCTGAGAAAAAACACATTACTTCAGCAAAACATGCAATTTGTCAGCATCAAAGGCAGTGATGGATTAAAAATATATATTTATTCATTTCCTTAGAGCCATTTATTTCATTTTTACGTTATTGTCATGCTATAAGATGTGAGAGAATATAATTTTGCAATTAAAACATTTCGAAGAACAGAAAATATTAAGCAAAAAGAGATTGCATTAAAACAAAACATGATACAGAACTCCTGTCAACTGTCACCCAATCTATCACAACTCATGTTATCCACGCGAGTTGTACGGTGCGCATAAAACTCTTGTTGTTCTGATTATTATTATCATCATCAGTGGCCCTACTCTTCTTTCTATTATCCACAATCCTTTCATCCGGATAAGTGTAGAATGTTTCTGGATAACAGGATCCACAAGTAATAATAGGGTTTTTCCTCTTTTTTCTGGCAACAAAACTGAAACCTTTTTACAAGGATTCATGTCTGCATTAACCACAATACCTGTAGTTAAAATGCATACAAAAAACATACTATGATAATATATGCATTGCCCTTGAAACTGATTGGTCCACACCAAGGGACGGCTTTCTTTTGAGCCTCGACCCAATTGGTGCTCGACCAGATGACGCCAAAAGGCGTACGCCTATTACATTTTAAGACTGGCAAATGAGGTCTAATGATGTAGAGGATCCACAAGATGGGACCCCCCACATTACCCTCACAGAAATGTAACGAACCTTGCGTTTCATTTTCTAGTCACTATTTTCAAACGGTTTGTTTTGTCATTGCTGGCGACAGGCACTTTATAAATCCAAGAGAGAATAGAATACGTAACTTTGATTGCATGGCACATTGTTTTGCCACCATCAGTGTCGATGGCCACATGCAATGATGTTTTAATTATGCTGCAGTTTCAATGTTTGCCCTTTGTAACCTCAATGCAATATACACATGCATTTTAGAAACATATCATAGCAATTGGCTGTACATAGGCATATTGTACGGTATAAATGAAATGTTTACCTTTTACTTATCTCATCGATACAGCAATATATTATGTGAAAATATACAAATTTTACTTTTCTGCCAATAATTAAAAAAAACCTGTCTTCAATGTCATTTACAAATGTAATGATTTCCCTGCTACCACTGCACGTGTCGTTTCACTTCCGCGATATATATTTTTGGCTTACTTACACAAAAGTCATAATTCAGATTTCACAAGTCTAAATTTTTTATGTCAGGCTGCGACACATTCTCACGGGTGACATCATGACACGGATTATTTTTGATGTCCATAATAAGACGTGTACCCTTTAACTGTGTGCATCAACTATTAAAGGGAGCCCGTGTGTCAATGTGGCCCTGTTGCAAGGGCAGGTAATGCTCTTATCAATAACATAGACCTCCTTTGATGTACTGCTTCAACTTAAAGTGACGACGATACACGTCTATATGTCCACAAAGGACTTGTGCGCACCTGTGCCCCAGCCATCTGAAGAATGTTTTTTGAGGAAATGTTGCCGAGCCAAAGTTCAGTTCAACTGGCGACACCAGACACAGGGCATGATTAAAGCAGAAATGAAAACCTGCAAACATACAATCAGCCCCTTCAATGGAGATGATCCCTCACCCGGTAAACAGCACAAGGAAGAAAGAAGGTACGTACTCGGAAAGTTCAGTGAGAGGACAGACTTTGGGCGGCGGGGTAAAATGTCAGCGTTAAGTTACGGCTTCGACAACAGCGGGAAGGGGTCGTGACAGCGGCCGTAGTCTCGGGTTATTGGACGTGTAACACAAGCGCTGTTTAGTATCGCTGCTTCGTCTGATTAAGCTACGATCACTGCGTTCGGACATGCAAACAGAGGGTCGGTTTTCCCACTGTTTTGCAAGCGTATGTGTCATCAGGTGGTAAAAATTTAGACCCGAGTGATCTTACAAATTGAAGAACACTAAAACAGTTTTTTTTTAATGCATCAATTTACGAATGCAATTTTGATTTCATTTTCATTTCTTGTTGATGTAAAATTGTATATTGATGCTACTTATCTTGACCAGTCATTACAGGATAATTTGGATAGATTTTATATGTAAGATGTAGTATTTGCAAAGCAATAAACAAACAAAAATCAAGCCTTTTGCTCAATAAATTGGCTAGTTTGTGTACTTATCTACAACTGATGGGACTGAAATGGGACATTTTAAACTACAGCCAAAGCTATTGAGGGTGCGACGAAGTAACCATATCGAGAGTGTCGGTAAAAAATAATAATACAATCTCCATAGTTTATCTTTTATATAAAATAAGCGCAGATTTACATAATTTGTTTCAAACGAGAGATTGCTTCGCGATTCTTTTAACCGACGTATATACAATTCCACGTCTTTATTTACTGCCGTGTTTACATATTTCCTACAGGTGGCCTCCACACTGACGTTAAAATCCCCCAAACTGGAATGTCTCACGAGGGGCGATCATCCACTCTCTGTTCCTTTGTTTACCCATGTTTTCTTGGGACGCCTCCTTCTCATTACTTACCATTATCTCACCTGCACAACGCAGGTTCCAGCCTTGGAATCCAAATTCCAGGATGGGATGAAAGGGATTGGCAAAAAAAAACCACGCCACAGGATTGAGTTACTCAGCATGCCGGGTGGGCCAGAGTTGCTGTTTGAGTTTTTTTCTCTCTTTCTCGGCCCGGTCTTCTT